ATCATTATAGCCATCTATCTAACATTACATCAGTAAGTACATACGTAAGCACTACTCACACACAGAAACTGATTTCACTATCATAAAAAACCTAACAGAGCATATACCCAAATTGTTTCACAACTCATAAAAAAGCCTAACACAGCATAATTATAAATGTCAAGTTCATTAACGTTCTATGAAATAAAAGTTGCATGCGACTGTACTAGACCCGGCAAAAACGCCGGGTCATTGCACTCGCGCGCAGCGTGTTTTGATAAGGTCGCCAATTCGACATCGAATTTTTTCTAAAGAATCGCGAATACAGTTAAAAAAGCGCTACGCGACCAACTGCGAACCGTTTTAATTACTTCATAGTCACGGAGTTGTAGTAAAATTTACCGTTAACGGAAAGTGATATGACAAACCGGACTGATTGAACAGTTTTTGCCGCCATCTTCTTGCTGCGTTCAAATTGTCAGTCACTTTTATGGTTCCGTCTTTACTGTGATGGGGCAATAACAATGAAATCATATCAAAGAACCGTAACTAATAAGGCAGATTATTATTTAATTGAATTCACAAAACAATAACCTTTCAAAAACTTAAAAATTACATAGGAACTTCTTCTTCTTTCTTATGGCTATTGTTGTCTATGTTTCCACGTTTACCAATGTCATTTACATAGGGTCCCCAATTCCCCATTAAAAGTTAAAAAATATATTTTAAAATTAAATAAAGGGTACGGAACCCTTCAATCTGATTTGGACTAAACCTGTTTACTAATTCATGGCAACAGTTAGTAAATCGTTTGTTCAAACCAAAACAAACATCCGCGTGCCTAACCGCGTAATTAAACTGATTACCATGTATATTACCGGGAATGCAGCTGAATGTTCCGATCTATACTATTTTAATGCAAATCCGTCTATTGCCATTCTATTCGCGATACTGTTAAGCGTACAGCCACGCGCATAAATAATTTGTCAATAAATGTAAGCATTATTTTGCATGCGACAAATCATTATTGTTATAGCAGATCGCTACATTTTGCATTCTAAATTGCAATTCAATTAAGAGGTAAAAAATTCTGAAAACTTCGACGTCGTTTAAAAAAAAGATTATTAGTAATTTCCTATTGCACAAATTACTAATACTCCCGTTATTTAATAATAGTTATTATGATGACATTTAACACTGCAATGTGTAGGTAAGAATTTACAATGTTACTTTTTTTTTTCTCTTTATTTAAGGAGCTTTGTCAAAGAACAATGCAACATTTCTTTTCTGTCATTTTCTTAAAAAAAAAACTCAATTCGCATCGTAAATTGGAATCCAATTTCGCGCACGACATTAATCGTCAAATAACGTATACGACTGCACTTCCTAGGCGTTGCGCTCGCGCATATTAAATGAGACACCCACGTGAGTGATTCACATGCGCACTACTCGCTGTATTCACACTAATGAATATTGTGCTATGCTTGTCTAGAAAGTATCCGACTTAGTATAAAATTTGAGAAAATGAAATCTACTTAGACGCCGGCAAATTACTGCAAAATGTTGACTGGAAATAAACAATAATGGTGGTTCAACGATGCTTTAACGAATGCCGAAGAGTTACATAAAGATTTAAACAGTAAACGGGAAAATTAAACTCCTCTGCAGTCAGACAAAATTATCGTATTTTTTTACACATAATATTTCGGCAGCTCTACATGCATGACAATATTGTTAAAAGAATTAAGAAGAATCCTTTTCTCGCTAAGGCTTCGAAAATTTTCCACGTTTTCCGCAAAAATTACATACAGAATGTACAAGTTTCTTCTTCGAGCAGCTATACAAGACGGATACTTTTCGGACGCGCATTCGCATTATACTGCTATAATACAATAACGATCTTTATCCTGCCGACTTTATCCCTCCAAACGACAACATTAAACGTGTACAGGATGTCTTTTAAGTTTCGTCGACGTTTATTTTAGCATTACACACAACATTGTATTTGCGAAACCTATTATGGTAATATTGTATTGCTCCAGCGAATCGCCAGCGCGCCTAGTTGGCCGGGTTTTAATCATAAATTGTTGCGAGTTGTGATGTTAAAGCTTTGTATTCACTGTATAAATGTTTCCAGACACGTGTTGCTAAACGTGTCTGGTTAAGTCCGAAAATGTCGTGAAAAATACACCACATTACTTGACGTTTTTATTCAATAGTTTCCAGATGTGTCGTGCTATCTCAAAAGAAGTTGCCCGATGCTGGTGCAATTTAAAGTTACATACTAGTGAACTAAATAGTGAATACGAGGCCTAAGAAACATGTCATATGCACTGTGAACATTGTCCTGATAGGTAGACCATTATTGTGGAATAACTGACTCGGGAATTAATTGGTTTGTAATTGCATGCACCTTTTAATTGTAGGTTACAATGATGTTGAACAGGGTATGAATAGAAGATGGAATAGGTCCCTTTAATAGAGCAACAGGCATAAGGATAAAACAACGCCCTGTACAACATTATCATAATAAACCGTTTTAAAAAGGATTACTAGTCTGCCATAAATAAAGTCTATCAGATTGAGCTGATAAAGTTTAAACTGTACGTCATGGGCAACCTTTGTGGAATTGTTGCAATCACTCGATGCACATGCATTGTAATGCAGTGACGATCGCTCGAGACCTTCGCATGGTCCAAGTGCATGACCATTCATCTTGTTTAACTGATTGACATGATGACTCCGAAGTAATTTCTATAGTTGGTCAGAAATAGCAACGATGTTGTTCTCTTCAATCAGTTATGATTAAAACGTTACCGTCTTTGTTGCAAGTCATTTGTCATCATGAAAATGTACAATGTCTTTGAATTTACTGATGATTACTTTATATTAATATATCCCTGGTTATTTTTTTAAATTAAAATGACGCATTGATTCGCTTTCTAAATATTAAATAGAATTATGTAAACATTATTACACTTCATTATTTCAAATCGTAAATTCGTCCAATTTAAGCGACTCTACTTTTTAATTAAATACGACGTTGATTGCGATCGTAATTTTTATGTGTAATAAATAATATTGACTTTTAATCAAAGGAAACTTATTAATAATTGCTCATAATAATAAAATATCATTGGAACAATAAATGTCCCATTCGAATTCAAGTGAGACGTTATTTAAAGTTATTGGCAAAAGTGCAGCAGATTGTCTAATCACTAGGAAGCAGAATGCATCTTCTGCGTAATGCGTTTTGGCTAAATTTGTATTCAGTGAACTTGCCAACGAACGCATTCAACGATTAACATGCACGTTTAATTGAAAACATTGATGTTAAAGTACTAGGTAACATCGTTTCAACCAGACATTCTGATCTTCCTTTGTAGAGAAAAACAGTCGAATTCATCTAAATATTCAATCGTAACTAGTATTAACAACAAAACTAAAGTACGGTTGCAAATAAACAAACCGGCATTGGGAATTGTGTCTCTGGGCGGCCATCATTAATTCATACTTTGAATAGAACAAAGAATCACTATTAGAATAGCGGCGAACTGAGATCAAGATGACCTAAAAACACACAATGGCTATCGAATTTCTACCATGGACTAAGTCAAAAACACACATCGCTAACACTTGAGGCTGGCGAATTTAGTTAGGAAGTTCTACAGTAAAGAAAGTTTTAGTTACAAAGTTATTATTAATTGACAAATCATAATCATCATCATTTCAGCAACAGGACGTCCACTGCTGAACTTAGGCTTCCCTCAATGGACAAATAGTGACGGAAAAATCAAATAAAAAAATATTCTGGAATTGAGGGGATAATAAAGTGAAATCCTTCCCAATTCCCTGCTGGGTTTGATGGTATAACTACGTAAGCTAGAATTTGAGCTTTTTTAAAAGCTCTCTCAGACAGAATGTATGATGATATAAAACAAAAAGCTTTACCGGGAGCCACTGTGATGACGAAGATGTCTTTAGCTGATGTTTGGGGTAGCTCTGCAGAAATTCGACTGGACAGTAGCAGTTAATGCATTTGAGAAGCTAATTTAAGTTACAAGATATTATGTTTGCAGTGATGAAGAGATGCTATCAAAAGCCGAGCTAAGCCGATCTCTTGCACTGTGACAATGGCCAAGTCGTGACCACTCGGAGCTTAGCTCACGACCGCTTTGTGCCTACTTGTTAAAATAATAGACACTTAAGCCTTGGAGGCGACAACGAAATAGCACCGTCAGATCTTGTAATTGGTGAAGGTACCTTGCGGTGAGATGCAAATTGGCTGTAAAATGTTACAGGGTATCGTTTACGTACGACGTTTCAAAAGTAACGAACATTTCACAGCAACAAATTAAGAAAATAAAACGAATTTGCCGGCCAATAAATGTTTTCGCATTCACATTTCACACGTGCGAACAATGAAAGAATTGATCATGTTTAACGAACTTTCTACAAAAAATATTGCAATCAAGATACAATAGCTCATCAATAATTTGAAAGTGGACACTCTTACCAATTATTCATAATGAAAATGCAACAACACGCATTATTTATAAGTATGAAATCGGTCTACCTACTTATAAGAAAAAAACTTACACGATAATATTTAAAATTGACAGTTTAAGTGATAAGCTCTTTCAAAACGTGAACATTTAAATTTTAAATATATCCCACTGTTTTATTCTCATTTATAAGCCTTCCCCGCATTACATAAAAATGTGTTACATTGATCGTGTTCATGTTACGCCATCAAAACAAACTCTTGTGAGCGCAATAAAACCGCGTCAGAGAACAATTCCTTATTTTGTGATTGCCGGATCGATGCGGGATGCGTTCGCGCATCGTAACCTTTGCCGCGGATCATAACGACGTAACCACAATAATACATTTTGACAACAATAAAAAGCAATACCGTTTCTGCTATAACGCTTTTAAACAATAAATGCAGATAACCAAAACAAAACACAATCGAAAATCTTTACGACAATCGCGTACCCCCATCACCGAATAGTACCTACGCTCACTTGTTTTTCGGTCCTTCAAGTTTTTAATAAAATACAATCGTCACTTGTTTCGTAGTAAAGATGCCGCGGCGTTTCTCCCGGAGGTAAACAGTCGCGCGGTTGTCGCGATATCGCCACTATTGTTCGCGTCGCGTGCGCAGGTTTCATCTAGTGCGCGCGGCCGATGCGGCGGCGGTCGCGATAATGCGGCACTCGCCTCCATGCTGGCGAGTGCTGCCTCCCCGGTGCCCGAGTGCCGGGCCACCTCTCTCTTTTGAGCGGATACGGGTCGCGGCGCATGTATGCGTGCGATCCAGTTGCCGGTGGTTTAATGGACTTTTCACTCGTAAGGGTTTGCTGTGGCTATCAATTTTCTCTAATCAGTCTTTAGTTAAAAGTAATACTAATTAAAAGCCAATATTAATATCAGTCTTCCCTCCGCTCATTGCTTGTCCTGTCCAAATATAACCCCTTTTCCAACTTGTTGATAAAATTGTTTTTGTTCAAAATGTTAATGCATCATGAATAAATAAATAACATTTTCCAATTTTAGACATATCATGGATTAATCTGTTTTAATTTATTTGTTTAAAGTCAGTGCTCATCGTTATAACATCTCTACCGATTTCGAAGATATTGGCTATCCAATTTCCACTTAATTGAACTGATGAGAGAGTAAATTAATGTATTGGATAAAATAACACAATATTGCCAACTTTTTTTTTTGCCAACAGAATAGGTATTGATACTTTTTCTACAACAAAAATTATCAGGTTATAATGGCTTTCATTCGGATCTCTGAATGATTCAGATTTCTCTACATCAATCCTAGATTGTCGTGATTTTCAAAGTATAAGTTTGATAAAAAGTAGAGAAAGCTTTCTCCTTTGTTTTAATTAGATACTTACCAATTACATACATTTCCCATAAAATTTATCCACGGCATAATATGGTTTTCATTGCACGCAACGTGCGCAAGCGTGCAAAATTACACAGTAGAATGCACTCCGTGGGACTTTATAAAAGACTATACTAATTGCAAATTATCTTCACAGAAGCAGTGTTTAAGATTTGAACCATTAATGGTTAACTGATAAAAATTGTAGAGATGGTTTGTGTACCGCCATATATTTTTTATGAGTCTCTCTAAATGGAAAAATACCAATTATGGTTAATCCAGACGGTGAAATAAAAAAAGTCGAAGCAGTGCCAAAACGGTGTTAAATTAAAATTCCTTGGGCAGTACCTGTTTTAAAGAAGAAGATAAATTTTGAAATGTGTTTTCTAATTATTCTTAAGATGAACAAAACGCAATTTTCATTTTGCAAACTGGTTTAAATCTATTTCCAAAAGGATAAAAAAGTCTTACAATTTTGAGCTCTACGCCTATAAAAACACAAATCTATGTTTCGAATAATACTAAGTTGCGCCGACACCTATTCGTTTATATTCAACCGCAGTCATCGCGGTTATTGATGACTATTTGTATTACAATGTTACCATGAACGCGCAATCTTACGAAATGTCTTTGCATATTGTATTGGCGCATGCATTACGCGCCGGCGCAGTAGAGCGCACTAACTCTGTGCAAGGGCATCGACCAATGCGTTGACCGAACAAATTTTAGTATCCACAGAAATGGACTTGGGGAATATGACGATTATTTGTTAAAATTTTCTTGATAGAGTCGCATTCAAACTATTTTAGATAAGTAGAAAATATCGAATTTTCCTAAGAATGCGAAAGGTTGGGGAACGGTGGTGGGTTTGATTCCCGCCTTAGGCATAGATTTTTCAAGTTATTTAAAGTGTGAATTTTTGTTCTACTAGGTATTTTATATTTTAACAAGAATAATAATTCCTTTACATTTGAGCTGCATATTGAGTTGTAATCTAGTTGGTAGGGAGAATGTATTTTTCATGATGGAAACTAGAGCTAGCCCAATAATGTAACAAATTGATAAAATTTTACACAAATTAAAAGATCAAAATTGTAGAGTTACTTACTCATTACGGTTAATTGTAGAGTTATTTCGTAGACATTTCCTAGAAGAAAAACGAAGTTGTTTAGAAAAAGTTTGCATTGCCATTTGTGGAATATTGAAAAGCTAAGGTTCATACTTCATAATACAAAATCTTGCAAGTCCACCGTCAACTTAGTCAAATGACTACGTTTGTAAACAAGTTGAGAAATCGTTATTGACTAAAATGGAGTGACATGATTTGTCTTCGCTATTTACCCAGGTCCACAACGAGAATTCTGCAAATGCACTATGCAAATTTGAGGTGGGCACTTGATGCAATAAAGCGTGTCAGATCTATGTGGATTTAAGTTTTACTGAGGGTAAAATAAAGTAAATAGTTGGATGCAAATTGTAGAGTTTGTTTTAGTTACTAGTTTTCATTGTGAGATTCAGATTCGACTGTTACGAAACAGCAAAGAGATTAGACTCAGTATCTATTTTCCAATAACTTACATTTCTCACATGTAGCAATTTCAAAATTACACATTTCAAGTTGAAAATACAAGTCCGCGCGAAAAGATAATGCGCTCCGTAATGGACGTGCAATTTTTCCATCAAATTAAGTAGCCCGCGATCATAAAACTAAAAGCTTCCTAGGCCAGCCCGAGCTGCAATTTTCCTTATCAAATAAACTACTGGGGCTGACATAACCGCGCTGTAAAACCACTCGACGCAGGCGCAGGTGGCTGCGAAAAAAGGGACAAGAGTGCACTCCATGCTACGTACAATAGTGTCATTAATCCTTTATGGGGTCCCCGACCTCGGTTCCCGAGTGATAGACAATGGTGGTAGTCGTGTTTGTGAGCAGAATTAATACATGCACATGCAATGGGAAGCGGGGGATGACCAGCCTTGAACTTGCATGCAGTTCTATGCGACGATGAATGCGAAATGAGCGCCATTTCTAGTAAGCGCGCCATGTTGGTCGCCGGCAGACGTGTTGATGTTGACCGGATTTTTCGCGCGTTGCTTAAAATCGGAGTTATCACAGTATACGATAGAGATGTTTATTGAAATGATGATGATGATAAAAACATGTAATACAAATATTTGTATTTTTTTATAATCTCAAAAACAATAAGTAGGCAATCGCTCCTTTAAACCTCTTTAAGAATATGTAGAGCCGCAATTGAAGTATGATACAACAGTTTAACTACAAATATCGGTAATTACTAAAACATACTTCTGGAACTATCTAAACGTAGTATGTAATGAAACATTTTTTCTCTAGTTTCTAATATTTATTACCTCTTAAAACTGTTATAACAAAAATGTTTTAAAAGTTGGTATTTCCTTGAAGAGTTCCAATAACAGAAACAAGAATGAATCCTTTCTGGTAATATTTTCCTACCCACACTAACATACCGACCACAACAATTCGTCGTTTGTTCAATTGGAATTGTGTGCTTCATTCATGACCCTACGAGCACTGAACCCGCTACATTTTGACGGACTATGAACTCCTTTGTCTCCACAAATCATAAACACAGTCAATAAAACATTTGTTACGACAAAACGTATTAACGCTGAAGACTCAAGCGCTTTATAGTCGCGCTAGCAAAAAGGACTATTTAATGGAAATATGTATTACCTAGGTTGGTACTCACCTCAGGTTTTAAGCGCTATAATTTGTACTTATTCGGATTTTCATTGAGTAAGTAAATTCTAACAGAAAAAATACACAAATGACTATACTTCTTGTTACCTTCGATTTATCAAAGCGTGTACCGGAATTTATGGTAGAGTCATGAGAGAAAATGGAAAGAAAAATTTAAATTTTCAATTGTAAGCTTGGTAATTCCCTATGAAAATATTTCGACGACTCAAATAATTCAAACTAAGTCTTAAAAACTTAACTTAGGTCTTAACCTAACTATAATAGCCCTATCTAATAGAAATTAAATTATCTACCCAAGTAATGAAACTTTCATTAGTTAGGTACTCTTTGGGTGAAATTGAGGAACAATCACATCAAATTAGTAGGGACCAACAATTTATTATGTTCTTCCAAAAAAGTAGACCTTTCATCTATGGCTGAACAACTTTAATTCAAGTTCCAAGTCCAAACTCCAAAAGATCAGATTCAATAACAGAGCTCCCGACAGTTATTTAACGATCCCATTATAAAAATAACACTTATTATTTCCGAAATCAAATTGAATTATGGCTTAATAGCTTTATATTCTAGCTCGGCAACGTTGCTAGGTGGTTGGTGCTGCACATCAGACTCTACATTTTTGTTCGAAAATAGCATCTATTACAACGGACTAAGAGAATAGTGTAAAGCTTGATGTGTTGTATTACTCGCGAATTGCCGGGGTAGGCTGCCAGTAGGTTGCGGGGTCGTTGACCCCACAACCGGTCGCGAGCTTTGAGCGGCGTAAAGCCAAACTTGGCCCACTTTTCTTAGACACGCCACTGTAAAACGTATCGCGGTTTGTACTTCCTTTTTTACGTGATTGTTTGTTACGTGCTGATGAATCACACTCGTTAGACTGTGTTCACATGGAAAAGTACGTATCTGAGGTATTTTTAAACTTGCATCTGTTTATGCAATCGGTTTTAGTCTTGTCTGCAATATTACATGAAGGTACGAATAATAATGTTAAAAATTGTTACAAAAATTTTACGAACACGAATTGCTCTGGGTATTCGAAAGTTGAGGGTTCGAAATCCTCTGGGGACAAATTTTACGTGACAAACTATTAGAGCTTTTGCAAAAATATAGCTTGACGTCGTTGAGAATCGAAAATATTAAAAAAGCGGTTTAGCCACGGAATGAAAGCGGCAAAGTTAACAGAGCTTTTAAATGATTAAGCTGCCAAAGAGCTTAATAATTTAACGAGGCTCAACTCTATGTTTTTATACTCTCCACCCGAAGAAGAGCTTTAATTAAACATTTAAAATTCGCCTTAACCGATTTCCGTGTGGTTTACCGTGTGTTTTATCTTGTATTTTTATTAATTGCAACATTGAAATAGCAGCAATATTCTCGAATGCATATTTATCATGATAACTGCGAAACACGGAGGTAAGGCAGCTTTGTGAAAGGCATAGGGCAAAGAGCAACCGGCAACACTAAGCTTGGTGCACATGGATTGCACTATCACATTATTTGAACACAGTTAAAAGGTCATCAGGACATTCTCAGTCCTACAGGAACACGACCCAATTTTAAAAGAGCAAGTAGAGGACTTCTTATTTCAAAATCCCTACGCTAGGCGGACAGTTTGAGGATGCCTGATGTAGAAACCATTA